GATTTGCATTTGCTCTAGCACCATGTGTTAAATCAGTTATCTTTCCTCCTCAAATAACTTTTGCACTTTTGTCAAAAATCAGGGCACATTGGTATGAGTCTATTTCCAGAGTCTCTGTTCCTTTCCATTGATCTGTGTCTACTCTTCTGCCAATACCACAGTCTTAATTACCATGACTATATATTATCTTGAAATCGACTACACTGATTCCTCCCACTTTCTTCTTTATTTTTAAACAGCGTTAGTGAGGCATAATCATTACACACACATGCACACAAAAAAACAAAACAAAAGCAAACCCAAAACAAAAATCTCGCACATGAATTAATGTATATAACTTGATGATTTTGAATCACTTAATATTTTTTATTCAAAATTGTTTTCACAGTTCTTGTTCCTTTGCCTTTCCATATGCATTTTAGAATAATCTTGTGCATATTCCAAAAACAATTGCTAGAATTTTGATAGGAATTAAGCTAAAATTGTATACTCATTTGGAAAAAATGGATCTTAGGTGTGTTGAGTCTTCCAGGCTATAAGCATAGTGTTTCCATTTCTTTATCTTTTTTTATCAACATTTTATTATTTTCTTAATTCACTGTCCATGTTCTATGTATTTATTATACCTAAAATTTTTTAAATGGTTATCAATATATAATTTTTATGTGAATTTCTATTATATATAAATATGATGATTTTCATGTTTATCTTGCACTCCATGACCTTGCTGAACTCACCTACTTTTAGGAGGGTTTTTTTATTTTTTATTTATTTATTTTTAAAAAAATATTTTATTTTATTTATTTTAGTTATAGTTGTACATAATGCCTGTATTTCACTTATTTATTTTTATGTGTTGCTGAGGATCGAACCCAGGGTCTCGTGTGTGCGAGGCAAGTGCTCTACTGCTGAGCCACAACCCTAGCCTGTTTTAGGAGTTTCTATGTAGATTCTTAGGGATGTTCTATGTAAACCATTATGTGGTTTGCAAATAGGGAGAGTTTAATTTCTTAATTTCTGATCTGGATGCCTTTTATTTCCTTCCTGGTTTATTGCAATGGCAGCCCAGTGTTGAATAAGAGTGATGAGAGCTGGTAGCTTGCCTTGCCCCTCATCTTTGTGAGGAACGTACTCAGTCTTCACCATGAAGTATAATGTTAGCTACAGGGTTTTTCTGTAGATACTCTCTGACAAGCTTAGGAAATTTGCCTCTGTTCCTCTACATTCCCCTTTCTCTGCTGCTTTAGCTGTATCATACACATTTTGATATGTGGAATTTTCATTTTCTTGAATTCAATCTATTTTAGAATTTCTCTTGACACTTTCCCTTTGGCCTAGGGGTTATTAAGAATTCCCCTGGTTTTCAAGCGTTTGGATATTTTCCTGTTATCTTTCTTTGATTGATTTCCAGTTTGATTCCATTGTAGTTGAAGAACACAGTCTGTATGATGTTCATTCTGTTAAATTTGTTGAGGTTTGTTTTATGGGTCAGCATATGGTCTGTCCTAAGTGATGTTCCATGTGCCCTTGAGAAGAATGTGTATTCTGTTCCTGTTGGGGAGAACATTCTAGAAATGTCAATTAAGTCCTCTCTGGTTGAATTCAGACCCTTGCTGATCTTCTATCTAGTTGTTCCATCAGTTGTTGAGAGAGGTGTATTGTGTATCTGTTTCTCCTTTCAGTTCAATCAGTTTTTGCTTCACATATTTTGTAATTCCTTTGTTTGTACAGACACATTAGGATTCCTGCTTCTTTTTAGTGGGTGGATCCTTTTATCACTATGAGTTGTACCTTCTTGTCTCTGTTGTACAGATAATTTCAATTACAGAACAACAATTGCAGAACAATTTCAATGGTTTTATCTTTGAGTTCACTGGTTCTTTCCTTTATCCCCTCTATTTTGCTATTGAGCTTACCCATTAGATTTTTTTTTCTATTGGTTCTAAAACTTCCATTTGGTTCTTCTTTTTATCTTCTCTCTCTCTTTTTTTTTGCTGAAGTTGTTTTTCTTCATTTTTTTTAATGCTGTCCACAGTTGCTTGTTACAGCATTTTTATGATGGCTGTTTAAAAGTCTGTGATTGGATATTTCTGATATCTCTATCATGTTAGTATTGGCATCTATTTATTATCTATGCTTTATTCAGTTTGATATTTCCTTGTTTTTTTCTGCATCATGATCATTTTTAAATTGAAATCTGGGCATTTTAAGCATCATGTTTTGAAACTCTGGATCTTACTTGGAGTTTTCATTGTAGTTGACTTTCTTTAACACTTATACGTCAGGGGCCACCTAGATTTCTGCCAGGTTGGGGTAAAAGAACAGATTTTCCTCTCAGCCTCTTGGGACACCTGAGAGGGTGCTCCTTATTGTGCTAGGTGGGAGTGGGAGCTCCAGCTCCCTGCTAAGCTCACACTGATCCTCCCTGGGTTGTAGGGGACTAGGGGTGGTCTCATTACTGCTGGGTCCTAGTGGAAGTCCAGGCTCCTGGCTGGTCCTTCTCTGGGGCTTCATTGTAGCCTTGAGAAAGAGGAAGTCAGGTTTTCTAGACAGAGAACTTAGTGGGAGTGGGCCCACAACTTTTTCCTGTAGTGGATAGCTTTAATAGAGTGATTATTATCTAAAAGCTTTCTGTCTGGAGGCCATCACTTTCCTAGACTTTTGACTGGGGAGAATTTTTTTTTTTAACCTTGTACTGGGGATTGAACCCAGACCTCTCACTTCCCACATGCTAGGCAAGCACTCTACCACTGAGCGATATCTCCAGCCCTTTTTACTGCAAGACAGGGTCTTCCTAAGTTGCTGAGTTGCTCAGACTGGCCTCCAGTTTCAGTTCTGATCTTCCTGCCTCAGCCTCTCGGGTAGGAGAAGGGACTTTTTGGTGGGCCTCTTTATCTCTACACATCCGTATCTTCATGGTCCTTGATTCTTTACCACCAAGTCTGGGAATGTATGAACCAAAGAGGAATCCTAGGGAACTCACTGCTGTGCTGTACCTAGCGGGTTTGCTTTCTTTTCTCCAGTTTTCTGAGTCTTTTACATTTGTTTGATAGGCAATGTCCAGGGCTCCTCCTTGTACTTGACTACTCCATCTTTTCAGAAGCAGATGTCCTACTTGGTTGTTATTCTTTGCTTTATTTTTAGAGGCCAATCTTCTTTCCTGCCTGAGGTCTTGGGGCCTGGCCTTCCTTGATCACACTTGTGTAAGTTCCTTTTCATGGGGAAAGGAAATTAAAACCCCCAGGCCTAGAAAAGCTGTGTGTGTTCATGGAAGAGGTAGAAAGAGAACCCCTACCTTAAGATGCACATGGATACTCTGCATTTTTAGCTTTCCTTTGTCTCTTTTAAGGGCTGGGGTCAACCATAGGGAAAAGAGGGATGTTTATGTTTACTTAATGGCCTTCAACTTCTAGAGGTAAAAGGAAGTGGCTATGATGACATAAGATGGGGTCTCACCCTGAGATTCACAGGAATCTGTAAGTGGCACAGAGGAGCGGCTAAGGACTCTTTTCTAGCTTGGCCTGTTCTCAGAAGGCGCTGCTTTTTGCCTTTGACTAGTTGATGGGAAAGGCCATCCATGAGCTTGTTGTAGAGCCAAACTTTTCCTTGCACAGTCTGCTGTCTTATAAGCCTGGGTTACTCAGAGAAACCTAATGAACCTTGATGTGGAATATAGCGTGAGTTTTGAAGCTAGATGGAGTTTGAGCTCGTGACTCCATCATTTGCTAGCTCTGGGTCTTTAGAGTTCATTCATTTACCTAAAAACAACCCAGGGTACCTCCTCTGGGCTGGCCACTATTGCTGAGCTTGTGGCATATGGTGGTGGATTCGCTTCATTGTTCCTTTCTTCTCTTTCTAGCGACGAGGGGATCCAGCTGACTTCACTTCAAAAATATTTCCAAAATTTTTTTATTACTCCATCTTTCCCTCAGTTTATTATAGGTACCCGGATTCTCTTCCCTTATCTAGGGTAACTTTTTAAAAAATACACTGGATTATTATCCCCTTGCATAAGACGCTCAATTTACATCCAGCTGATCTGAGAATAAAATCCAGTCCCTCCCCATGGCCAACCAGGGTCTGCATGATTTGGGTTGTACTTTCCTCGCTGGGCAACTCTAGCATCTCCAGTTTCCCCCAGCTTCCTCAGTGCCCTTCATCCACATGGGCTTTCTCTCTCTTCTTTTTAATTTTTATTGGTATATTATAATTATACATAAGAGTGGGATTCATTATGCTATATTCACACACATACATACATAATTTGATCCACCTTATTCCCCGGTGCTTTCCCTTTCCCTCCCTTTCTCTCTCCCCACACTAGCCTTCTTTCTTTTCCTGAAAACATCAAGCTTGCTCCATTCTGAGTCATTACACCCTGGATGCTGTCTGCCTGGGATAATTTTTCCATACAAGTTTGAATGGCTGGGTCTTTATGAGCAGTCGGGTTTCTCCCAGCCCTCCTCCTCAGCCACATTTGATCAATTTTCTGGTTTTCCCCCTCCCTCGCCTCTTATTTAGCTCAGAGCACAATATGAAACAACCTTTGATTTGTTTACTAGACTGAGCAGGGATTGGGTTGTTGTCTTCATTGCCATATGTCCAGGGCCTAGACCAGTTCTTGGCACAGAGCAATAAATATCTGATGAATCGAGTTGCTTGATTCTCTAGAGCCTCAGTTGCTCACCTGTCACACAGAGCAATGAACTAAAACAAGCTTGTATTTTTGTATCTTGGATTGATGAGATAATAAATCCACATGAAATATTTGGTATGCTTCTCAGTTCACGATAAGCCAAGTAATAGTTTCTCATTGTTTCGATATGATCATTTCTGTTATCATGTTCACGTACATTCTCCCATCCTCCTCTAGCAACTGTTATTGTAGCTAATGATCCATACAGAGTATTCTGTGCATTTTTCAGTGACATATGCTGACTGGTTAGATGCTTGCAATTAAATTCTAACTTAGTACTCTCTTGGTCCTATTTCTCATACAGGTCCTGCAGCTGGGCTCAGATATCCTTCCCCAATACAAGCAAGAGGCACCAAAGACTCCCCCTCACATCATCTTACACTATTGTGTTTTTAAAACCACGTGGGATTGGATCATCTTGATCTTGACCTTCTACACAGCCATCTTGGTCCCTTACAACGTCTCCTTTAAAACCAGGCAGAACAATGTGGCCTGGCTGGTTGTGGACAGCATCGTGGATGTCATTTTTTTGGTGGACATTGTGCTGAATTTTCATACCACCTTTGTTGGACCAGCGGGGGAGGTGATTTCTGACCCCAAACTTATCCGAATGAACTACCTGAAGACATGGTTTGTGATTGACCTTCTGTCCTGTTTGCCATATGACGTCATCAACGCTTTTGAGAACGTGGATGAGGTTAGTGCCTTTATGGGTGATCCAGGGAAGATTGGTTTTGCTGATCAGATTCCACCACCACTGGAGGGGAGAGAGAGTCAGGTACATCCCTCAAATCTCAGACCTTGTTGTCATGTCTTTAAAGCTGAATTAAATGTGGGTGGTCAACAAAAGAGTAATGAAATGGGTGGGAACTAGCATGACTGATGTCCACACCGGAGGAAGCATGCTGGGTAGCTATCCTTGCCTGCTGTTCCTATCCTTTGGAAGCTTGGAGGCCCTGCATGTCAGCGAATGGGTGTGGACGAGACCAAAGGCTTACTCTTTCTCCACGAGGAGTCAAGGCCACTGGCTCGGGAAGGTGAGGCTGCAGAAGCAGTCATGCATGACCACTGCACTGGTGAATCTTCCTCTTGGTTTTGAATGTGGAATGTCTACCTATTGATCACTCGGATTATGGGAACTTTTTCTTTCATTTGCTTCTGACCTTTGGCTATTTCACAGACAATTAACTTGTGGTAACAGATATTGTTGTCACTCATTTTTTTTTTGTTTGTTTGTTGTTTTTGTTTTTCTCTGTCTCTCTCTTTGGTACATGTTGGAATGATTTCTTTTTCCCTAAAATGAGTTTTGGAGGTGACCATTTGCTGGGGTAGTCAGGTTAAGAGTAAGTGGTTAAGAGTAGTGTTTTGAGATGGTTAATTTTGCAGGCAATGGAAGGACTCTAAAGAAAATAAAGACCTTATAAATGTGTCAGAATTAGGATGTGACTGAACAGTCATTGTCTGAATGAATGGGTGCCTGGGACAGTTTCAGCAAAAAGCAACTAACTGCTAGGATGGTTAGGAATGACTGTCTCCTTTGAAAAAGCAAAGGATGAAAAAGCAAAGGATGTCAAGTTATTGCAAAGAAAAACGCCATATTCTTATCTAGTTGGTGCTTTGTGGGAATTACTCCTGTTCTTATACCTCGTTGACACTCCAGATGGATTAAGATAAGGCAGTTCATTTGATTAACCTTCAGCCTTGTGTAGCTACTCACGGCTCTTGTTGTATCAGATACAGAAGTTCCCAAGGATTAACTGGGTAATGCAGGCCCACTCTTAGGGTCAACAGACTTGTGTTGCAGTCTTGGAACAGTTTAAAGGAACAGATTGCTCCCTGCTGGGATATGAAGACCTAGCAAGTAAATCTGTATCATACTGGTAGCATAGTGATGCCCCTCTGCCTTCAGATGAGTACTAATGGTTGCTGAGGATACCAGCCCCTTCCTCTGGAAGAACTTACCAACTGACCACTTCTCTTTGCAGGGAAGAGTAGCTCTTCTTGCAAAATGATGCCAAGTATGATCTGGGAAGATAAGAACTTGGATGCTCAGATGCTCTAGATTCAGAACAATCCCTGTGCCTGTCTGTGTGCTGTGTCTTAATATACTTTAAAATCCCTAGGACTAATTCTCTGGGTGGATTTTGCAAGGGATTAAATGAGTCAAGACTGATCGTTTACAACAGCAGAATCATCTGTAAAGTGAATGTTGGGATTCTTAAATGTGAATTTTAGTAGATGTTTGGAATGTTTTTCTCTGAAATCACTTTAGGAAATTTTATGTTAGTGAGGAAAATATGATCATTTTGGCTTAGGTAATTCACAAGAATTCTCTTAATCTGAAAGAGCTTCTCATACACATATGAGAAATAAAATTTAACTTTAAAAAAAGTACTTGAGTTTGTGAAATAAATCATTTGTAGCAACGACACTGAAAATTTGTAGATAAATAGAACAGTTCTTCAGCTTGCATGGATTCTCATTAAGAATTGGCAGAATTATAAACACATATGTAAATGTGCTAGATAACTTGATAGGTTGGTAGAGCAGAGAGCTTGTCTTAAGGGACAGTGAATGTTGGGGGAGAACTCCTTGAGTTGTGAGTACCCTTGATGGTGATTTCTGAATTCTAGACTCATGAAATAGACTAGTAATAGGGAAAAAAGCTCCATTTTCTATGTCTTTTTTATTGGTAAAAGGTTTAGCATTCAAGCTCCTGATATTACTTCTTGACCAAAAATAAAAAATATTAATTTAAAGGGTTACAGTTCTGATTGATTTTATATCTGGTGATATCTTTTAAAGCTTTGACTGACACCTATAATAATGCCCTTTCATAACAATCATGGTGATGTGTAAAGAAACTGAAAATGTGCTTTCTTATCTTCTTGGCATTATCACCTATTAGGACTCTGGGGCCCTGGTTCGTGTTATTGAGCTTCTCTGGATCACAGTTTTCCTGTTTAGATCTTGGGGATGATCTTCAGGAGCTGCCTGAAAGGTGTAGTGTTTGGGCAGTAGATTAGTTGAGCTCCCTGTCAGCTCTAAAGGCTCAAGTCTGGTGTGTTCCAAGTCTCACCTGCATTAGTCCCACCTCCAGAAACTGAGTGTAAAAACAAGAGACTTTGCCCCGACCTTCCTAGTGGGAGGAAGATGAGGGTGGCAAGGCTCTTAGCAGGTGGCGAATAGACCCGAGGGAGCTCAGAGCCTGATGGAGGTCTTCTAGTTCAACCTTCTCAGCTCACAAGTAAGAAAACAGACTGAGAGGGGACTTGACTCACTCAAGGTTTCATAATAAATCATATAATCACAGTAATAATGAGTCCCCTTCTGATTCTTCTCTATTCTAAATAATGACAGATTTGGTAAAATTGGAGCAAAACACTTATGAAGTGAGTCAAAAGTGACCAGGAAGCTTCCGATGTGTGTGCGACTCACCCTTTGGCATGGCGGCATGTGGTGGGAAAGTGGGGCACTGGGTATGGTGGTGGAGAGGAGGCAGCTGCATTTTCCCCAAGGCAGCTGTGTGGGGTGAGATGGCAGTTTCAGATGCTTGAGGAGGGTCAGAGCTGCTGGTTTTCAGGTGCAGTCCTTTTATGAAAAGGCATCATTAAATTAGTGGGGATAAAGGGCTAGTGGGGGTTATAGGAGTTTGGGGAGGACATGAAGAGCACCCCACCTCTTGAACCTGAATGGAACTTGGAAAAAGCCTAGAGAAGTCCACTTAATAGGAGGATCAATGGCTTAGTGGTTCATATTCATCTCCTGCTCTTTGACTCTTACCCACAGTCAAAGTTGTGGAGTTGCATATCTAAGATGGTAGCTGCTTCTGCTCTAGATTCTTTCTCTGGGAGAGTGTGGGGAGAAATAAGAAATTGTTGACTCATTTCTCAAAAAAATGCACAGAGCTTACTTGTCCCTGGTGTCCTCCCAATTATACCAAAGGGCTGCATGCCCACGGAGACCACCAAAGAAGACAGGAAAGAGCAGCGGTGACTTTGCCATCTGTGCGTGTGTAGAGTGGGGGTGGGCACTCTTGAAGAAAAAAGATTGGATCCACCTTGGACCTGGGTCAAGAAAGAACAAGGATAAATTGCTGACACCTGCCATCATGAACTCAGCCCAGTGGCTATCACCCAGCACCATGATTTAAGCCACACAACATTCCCTGTGGCTCAACTTGTTTCACTTATGTAGATGGTCTCCATTTGCGTCATTCTCCAGTCTGTTGGTAATAATCTGTTTTGGAGGCTGTTTGGGAATATGTTTGCACATTAGTTAAACTGGTTAGAGGACAAAAAGGTCTGGAAACTGAGTGAACCAAAGCTTGGGATGGGAATGTTGAAGCAAAAGCTAAATTAGTTTCTTTCCAGTGTTTAGGGGATTATTGGCCTAAGATGCTTCATGGATTAAAGATAGAATTATTAGGAAGCCTTGTTGCTTATTGCTATTGGAGTGTGGAAGTGCAAAGGGGAGAATAGGGACAGTCATGCTATCTGCTGGGTCACAATTCTAGTTCCTTAGAGCCTGGTCACAATTCTAGTTCCTTAGCTAAGAAACTTTTCTGCGCCTGGCTCTGTGACATCAGACAGCAGCACAGACTGTCAGTGCTGGTCCTCCCCGAGACCCCTCTGTCACAGGAGATGCTCACCTTAGAGCTGGAGATGGGCAAGGCATGCGAGTAACTAGGAATACCTCTGACAGCAGCAAGTGACTGCCATACTGTTAGCTTCCCCACCTCTACTCTGCATGGCCGTAAAGAAATTGTAGGGAAACAGGAGGAAGATGATGTGTCATCCAGTTCCACCTTGTGCAAGTCACTCCACCTTGCTGGATTTGGTTTGCCTCACCTGTATGGTGAGTGCATCTCACCTCCTGTGGCTCTAGGACAGGCATTGTCATGTTCTGCCAGTGAGAGGAAAGGAACAGGTTGTCATTTTGCCTGGTGGCAGCTGTTCTGAGGTGGTGAAACTGGCCTGGGGGTCTCCTGGTTCCCTCTCTTTTTTGGAGGGGCAGTGTTGCTGGGATTGAACCCAGGGCCTCTCACTTGCTACGCAAGTGCTCTACCCACCTACAGCCTATGATCTCCTGACTCCCAAGCCTGTGCTTTTTCCTGTAGATTCTGCTGCTTTTCCAGAGAACCTGAGGGCTGAGGAAACCAAACTCTGCATTCCAGTCACTGGGCCCCTTGTCAGTTCCTCCAATCACTGCTTTCTGGAAGCTACATAGGACCAATCTCCTACTGTCAAAAATGATCTCCTCCTTGCACCCAGGCCTGACGCAGTGGTGCATGTCAGTAATCCCAGCAACTCAGGAGCCTGAGGCAGGAGGATTGCAACTTTGAGACTAGCTTCAGCAGTTGAGCTAGAACCTATCTCAAAATTTAAAAAAATTTTAGAAAGGTTGGGGATGTAGTTCAGTGGTGAAGCACCTTTGGGCTCAATCCCCTGGTCACTTCCCTGCTTCTGTGCACACACATGGCCAAGTCTGATCTTGACTCAGGTGTCTGGGCAGAGCACAGCACTTCCGGTCTTCCATCTGAGCCTCTGCTTGAAGGAGAGATGCATCATCTCCACAGTCCTTTACACCATGAGCCCAAGTCAGGAAGAAGAAGAATAATCAATCAGTCAATCAAAGGAAAAGTTCCAGGAGGCATTCCCAGCAGCGGCATTGCTAACATCTCTGAAACCAGACTTTAGCCACTGGCCATTGCCAGCAAGTCACAATCATCAAGAGAGAAGCATGCCCATCAGCATTTCCTGCCACTAACGAGACCTG